TTTCACTTGCATCTAATCCGATTTATCATGTAGAAATTATTTAGCGAAAAATTGTTTTTGCAACTTTAAGCGGGTAAGAATTCATTTTTATTCTCGATGGCTACACGTGAGCGGAACTTTGTACCATAAGGTAGTATGGTGCGCTGAATATATGTGCTATAGTGAAAAATCTTAAAGCGCCGTCGGACCGGATTTGGGGAAAAAATTGGTAAGAACCTAGTTACCCGGGGCTAACCGTGAATCCTAACACAAAATTGACAGAATTCACGCACACAATTTATTTAGAAAACAAGCTTCCATCAACAGCTTTTGGAGATTTCTTATAAGCCGTCTTTTTGACAAAGTAGAATTCTTGTCACTATCGCGAAAACGAGGCATTTTTTGGACTGAATGGGGCCCGGATTAAGTTTTACCGACCCAAAAAACGTATTACAAGAACGGTTGGGCTCACGTTCCCAAGTGATCCATTTTTGTAATTTTGGTACATAGTATCCCCTAAAAATTAAAATGTTTTAAATGCGGTCCAAATGACCTCGATCTAATTATTCAGCAAAGAAATTGCAAAACTGTGCACTTTTGCGACTTTAGGGTGTTGAAAATCCACTTTAAATATCGATGGCTAATGTGAGCGGAGCTTTCTATAATAAGGTATTTTGGGGCGCTTAATATGGAAATAGTGGAAAGCAAACTTAATTAAATCTAGTTCTCAGATGTTCAAGCTTATTAATAAAGTGGTCCGTAAGTAAAAGAAACATGGCAACGCAAGACAAATGTATACACACCCGATAGACTACATAAGTCCATCCGTATCGTAATTTTCCCTATTATCGGTGCAGAACAGAGGTTAGGATAACCCAAATGGTTATTCTTTTAGTCAACTGTACCCCGAACTAGACACACACACTAAAGAGTATCATACACATATGAGCGGTTACCCGTTCACCAAGCGTCTTAGCTGTTTGTAAAGTATGATAAAATCTTGGAAATCAAATATTCACCATTTACAATGGATTTATATCTAGAGGTGATCTAAGGTGCAATATGTTTAAGAAATTGCCAAAGCTGATCTCAATAAATATTCAATGTAAGTGCAAACAAAATAGTGCTATTTTTACCACATTGTCAGATGGACAGCAACTACCAGTACTGCAACAATGTCTATTGGCTAATTGTATTGACCTGTTTGACTGACTTGATGCATTTGATTTTTCCGTTTTTGTTAGAGTATTTAGATTGCTATGGACTCATTCCTTTACGAACTGATATTGGCGTTGAGTAGGAAGTGCAGAGTTAATCTACTTTATGTCATTTTTCCAAAAACTGAGCAAGTTTTTGGTGTATTAGGTTATCTAATGGACCCAGTATAACCATATCGTTTCACTGTTTGTTAAAGTGTTCTCAATGTCTTAATACTCGACTCTGCAAAGTACTTTATGCAATAACAAGGTTCGCCATTTTTTGATTTTTACTCAAATCGAGAGATTTTGTTATTAAAAAACGATAAAAAGAATTGAGCAAAAAATATTGATATTTACGTCGACTAAAAGCATTTTACTCGATCGGCGCGAGGCTGAAAAACGTATCTGTGCGCGAGACTAGACCGCGTGACGTCAGTAGCCAGACACACCTCGCTATACTATAACTATCTAAAACTGTAATGACTCATCGATGTTCACGTGAACATCACTTAACTACCAGTAGTCGGCTGTTCATAGGCGGGGTATGAATGTTTAACATGGGTGAACTAGATTTGTCACATGCTTAATAAAGAGTGGTTTGAAACATTGTAAGTCAAAAATTTGGGAATTACCTTTATTCATCGTCGCTTCCACTTATATCTGACACTAATAAACTGTCGCTATCGCTTTCCTCGTTGAAATTGACTATAACTGGCTCTATGATGGTGTCGATGTGGTGGTCAAGCTGCCACATTTTTGTTTCTTCCTTCATAACATGACTGATAGCATTCTGCCAAGCTTCGGGCGGTACTAGCTGTATGGAAGACTCAAGTAAAACCTTAACGTCCGGTAATTTGAAGGTTGTGTTATGGCGCGCAATATAACCCTTCACTTGAGCCCAGATGAGCTCTATTGGGTTCAGTTCACAGTGGTAGGGTGGTAACCGCAGCACAGTGACACCACATTGACGGGCCATCTCATCAGTCACGTAACTAATGTTCGCAGGTTTGTGCTGTTTAATTTTTTCATACAATTCCGCTTTCACACATGAATCGTCAAACGGGATTCCTTTTTCGCACAACCATTGCTGCATGTCACTTTTTCGAGATCCCATAGTCGGTACACGTTCGGCTCGACGACTATGGTAGGAAGCATTATCCATGACGATCACAGAGTTGGACTCAACTCGCTGAAGCACCCCTTGAAGCCAGCTCTCGAAGCAGCTGGCATTCATTTCGTCATGGTAATCACCTCCTTTCTTAGAGACGAAAATCAAGTCACCCTCTTCTAAAAAGCCACTATCGCTACCAATATTAGTTACGATCAATCTTTGACCTTTCCCTGACGGTCCACGAAGACCTGTTGACAAACCTTCAATGCTTGCTTGTCGGTTACTCACTACGTTTTTGTCTATCCAGGTTTTTTTAACTGTGTGACCTGCATTTACCCATGTCTCGTCCAAATAATAGATTTTTCTGCTTTGTCGCCTATATTCAATCATTTCGCGTAGGTATTTTCAACGCCAGGCAACTATTTCAGGTCTCTCTATCAATACTGACTTCCGATTACGCGTTTCGTAACGAAAATTAATTTCGTGCAGGGATTTCCCCATTACCTCGACGCTCATTTGGGGTATAATTTCATTTTCCTTGATCGCTGCATGTACAGCCTTGAGGGTTGGTATCTCATTCCTAAAGAAGAATGAATGTACGGTTCGCCTTACCGCCATTTTGCTATCGTCATCCAATTTAACGCCCTTTCGTCCCTTCAAATTAAACTTTGGATCAGTAGTAGCTCCAGTTTTCTTCTTTTCATGCACCACCCTGCGAATGGTCCACTCTGGAACGCCTGTCATACTTTCACAACGCGCGAGTGCATCTCCCTGCGACATAGTTCTGTTCATATAATTGAACACGTTGAGCACGATTTCTTTCGCGTCCCTCTTCAGTGCTCTACGAAGCCGTCTACTTGTTCCCTGGCTTTCAGTACTTCCACTCGTGCCATTTGTACTCTCCATGGTTAAGTATAACCAAAACAGTAACCACAAAAACCACAACAATAACAATCACACAACAATTCTTATAAAAACACACAATATGCGATCGCTCAACGAAACACGATCCAATGCGTTGCCGACGCCTATGAGTCTGCCGGTCGAGGCGCGTCTTTGATTTCATTGGTTCTACCGGCGGAGAACAATCAGCCATTATTTCCATCTCTGTCTGTGCTGTTGACCACCGCAAAGCCACAGAAACGACATATGTCGTACGCTATACAGCTGTACTGGAAGGAAGCCGGGATCGAGCTCTGATCACGTGTTGATCACGCGTATGAGTCATTACAGTTTTAAATAGTTGTAGTATAGCTGGCCAGCTGCATTTTCCATTCTCACAACAACGCCCCAGTAATCGGTTTGGAGTAGTTAGAGCTGGTACGATAGATTATTGTTAAATTCTTTGAACTTTGACGGTGCTAAATGTCCAACAGAAAATGGTGTTTTGTGCCAGCATGTACAGGTACGTCAAGTACAACACCACAAACAAATTTTGTGAATGTTCCAAAGACATGCCAAACCAAACAGGTACATTTTAGAAGCAAGTCAGTTCAAATCTCGCAAAAACACAGAGCAATGGATGTTGCTGTATCGCCAATTCCTGCGCTTGCTAAACAGATTTCAGAGCGGCCAAAAAAATGTTTGCAAGTGGAAAGTAAACGAGCAAATCTTGAAAGTCCCGCAATAACAGAAACATCCGAATCTGATTCGTATGAAGCCAGTCGAGGCAGTACTGAAAGTAGTGACAGCGAAGCCGACCAGCTTACTGCTGAGATCGCAGTTATTCTAAGCGCAATATTAGTCAAGGTTTAGAACTTTGCTTCATTGGCCATCCCCCTAATGCAGCCCTAAACTTTTTTTATCTTAGTAGCTATGAAATTCTATAATGTTACTGCCCCCCCCCCCCTAATTTAAGTATTCCCCAATAGACCCTAAAAAAATAAGATTCTCTCTACATCCCTGGAATTTTTCTCACTGAAAACATATTAGGTACCATACTTTACTTCAGAGAAGTGTAATAAAGCCTCATTATGCACGCAAAAAGAACCAATTTCGGGGCTCTTAATAGGCGTAACAAGGTAAAAAGGTATGTATGATAATTTAAATTCCATAATATTTTACCTAGGAAGAATTAAGCAGAGATAAATAGCCTTCAAAATTATTGTCACGAGCATACATTATTATGTCTTAATATTATTAGTTTTCAATAGACTAAAGCAAAGCAGGATCAATTTTTGCGGAGAAATACAAAAAATAGTACAGATTAGCTAAACAAAAAAAATAGCTTCATATATGTACTTACCGAACTACTTTAAGACTGCAGCTCTTAGGTTCAGTTAAATTTGCATTATTTGCCAAAAACTCGTACACCATTTCCACATTCACATGAGGTAAATTTCGCGAATCAGCTTTCTGATAACCTTGGAGCATTGTGCTAGCACAAATAAATAAAGTATACAAACGTCGGTCCCAGTTTATATAAATTCGTATTCGTATACTCTTCACTCCGTACACAAGATAATACAAGATACAAGTACTCTATGAGGGCGACAGCACGTGTCTGGCTACTGACGTCACGCGGTCTAGTCTCGCGTACAGGTACGTTTTCTAGACTTTAAAATGCTTACCATCGACGTAAATATTAATATTTTGCACTCAAATTTCTTTGACCGTTTTTTAATAATAAAATCCCTCGATTTTAATTAAAATAAGAGAAATACGAAAAATGTCGAACCTTCTTATTACAGTAGAACCTCGATTATCCGGCACTCGATTATTCGTCAACTTCCATTATTCGTCACCCATCCCGTTGTTCAAAATGAATTCGGAGAATTTAATTCGCAGCCCGACGACAAATATTTCTTAGAACTAAACTGACTTATTTTTACTTACCCGCATTTGCTCATACACGTACACAAGGAGTAGGATTACCTGAAATAGTGTGTCGATTAAGAAAAGGAGAAATCGCTACAGCACTATCAATAATTTATAATGTTCCCCGAACTACAATTAATGATTTTAAAAAACATGGAGATATCATTGAAAACCATATCAGCAAAATGGAATCAACAGATGGGGACGTCACTCATCGAAAAACGATGAAATTAGCTACCCACAATGAATTAGATGAGGTTGTTTTTTACTGGTTTGCCCAGCAGCGAAGTCAAGGAATTCCTTTATCAGGCCCAATTATTCAACAAAAAGCATTAGAGTTCAAAAAGAAATTGCCAAACTCCGATCCATCTTTTAAAGCAAGCAGTTGTCTATTGAAGGTGAAAAATTAAGTGCTAATAGTGTCAGTGTGGTACATTGATTCCCAAAGTGGTCTATATCGACCCCTAGGGGTCTATGACAACCTGCAACTGGTCTACGTCAGCGAAAAAAAATTTGGGGTTCCATGAAATGAATATGGGGGTCTACGATAGTGGATCTCAACACATACACTGATAGTACCTATTTACTTACATCATACTATCTTATAATATCAAAACATATACATTATTTATAAAAGAAGTAAAAAATTTATTATATATGTTTATAAAATTGTGTAAGTTGTAGGATGTTGGTATTCGCTTTGTGGTCGCAACATATTTTGAAATTGTAAAAACCTGAGAGTCGCAGTCTCAGAGCTTCGCTACCTTGCACTGACTTGTTCAATTCGTCACTCTATAAATACGAATGTGGGACAAATACGTTTATTCGTTTCCTGAATCTTGAAAAGGAAAGTGCTAAGAAAATATTTTAAAAAATATAAACAGATAGTATATCACACAAATTATAGTGAGTCAGTGTTATTTTGTTTGAGAGTGCTGGAGAAAAGTAATTGCATTATTTTTTATTAAATTTTAGTTTTGTACTCGTGGTTAGCAAAGATAGATAAATTACGCCTATCATGACTTTAGTTATTACAATATCTCGTTACTTATAGCAAAATCCGGAAAACCGCATACTATCGGAGAGAAGTTAATTTTGCCAGCCGTTGAAGAGGTTTTAAAAACTGTTTTACACAAACCTGCATCTGATATCATTAAAAGAATTCCCTTAAGCAACAATACTGTTGAGTGACGTATTGATGAAATGAGTTCTGATATTGAAAGCTTCTTATGAAATTATTTGCAAACGACCCATTCCTCTATACAGCTGGACGAGTCAACTTTACCTGATAATGCAGCATTATTATTGGCATATGTTCGTTTTATTATGAATCAAGAAATCTACGATGAACTGCTCTTCGCAAGAACTTTGATAACCGACGCTAAAGCTGAATCAATATTTCATGTTTTGAAGGACTACTTCATTGAAAAAACAATTCCTTTATCAAATATAATATCAGTAGCTACAGATGGAGCACCTGCCATGGTTGGACGTTATCGTGGATTTATAAGCTATTTAAAACAAAATGTGTCAGGGGTGTTAACAATATTAGTTGCTAAAAATTTGAGTGTTAGATTGCATGAATCACTTCATTTAGTCATTGATGCAGTAAACCGAATCCGAAGCAACGCGTTGAATACGCGGTTATTTGCGCAGTTGTGTGAAGAAAATGACTTTCATCAATTACTCCTTCACACTGAAGTACTCTGGTTGTCGAAAGGCTTATGTTTGACAAGATTTTTTGCACTTTTTGAGATTATCTTAGAATTTCTGGATACTATAGATAAAATTTTAAAAGAAAATTTAATTTAGAGGAAAACAGACATCGCCTATTTAACAGATTTGTTTACAAAATTTAATATGGTTAATTTGCAATTACAAGGCGACTGTTTAAATTTGATTAAAACAAAGTCCATCTTATCAGCGTTTCTTGCCAGAGTTAAACTAATGAAGCAAAATATTGGACGGGGCGAATTTTCTCAGTTCCCCAATTCGTCACAGACAAGCTGCCAGGAAGACGACGTTTCAACTTACGTTCAACATTTAAATGCCCTCTATTCAGATTTTGAATCTAGGTTTGAGAATATTTTGACTATGGTAATACCACCGTGGATAATTAATCCATATGGTGACATAGAAGAAGCGAATGTCATAATACAAGAGGAACTAACTGAACTAAGTACAAACGAAGAACTTAAGGTTCAGTTTAAAAACGGATATCAGCAATTCTGGCTGCAAAACAACATACCCGTTACTTATCCCGTATTATGGAATATAGCGAGGAAATTTTTAATTTCTTTTCCATCGTCATACCTAGTGGAAAGGGGGTTCAGCGCTGTTACCAATCTCCTAACGAAAAAAAGAAACAGACTGGACATCATTAGCCGAAGAGATTTAAGATTAACCCTTACAAAATTGACGCCAAATGTTGATAATTTATTATTAAAGCATCAGGTTCATCCTGCTCACTAAAAATATTGACTTATTGCTTATGTTATTTTATTTATAGTTTATTTTATGTTTATTGGTGTCTGACCAATAAATGCCCGCATTGGGAATAAGTGCCCGCATTGATTTTTTTAAAGAACCCCCTTTATAGAAAATATTTTTTTTTAATTATTCTGTAAATTCAAGGATAAGTACACACTAAAATTCGTTAATTTTTTGCCTATTTTTAGATAACTTAAACGTATAAGAAGCCTAATTTAATCAAACTAACAGTGAAATTATTGTAGAACATACGTTTATGCTATAATTAATAAACGAACTGGCTTATTGTACTATTTTAAGTAAAAAACTTTTTTTTTATTATTTTTCACTTTTTTTTTATTTTTACACTTTTATTTTTTTTTCAATGCGGGCACTTATTCCCATTGCGGGCACTTATTGGTCAGACACCTGTTTATTTAATGTTACGTATATTTTACATAATAGATACAAAATTTTATTTTGAGTAGTTTTAATTTAAATTCAATTAATAAATGTATAAATTAACATGTGTTTTTACTTTAAGTTTTTAACACTAAACTTCACTACAGTTAGAAATTTACAGGAAATCAATATCAGGTAAGTAGGGGGTCTACCCAACACGGAAAAACATGGCAAGGGGTCTACGACACAATAAAGTTTGGGGAACTTTGTGTGGTAGAATATGCTAACAAGCTTCGATAGGAAATTAAAAAGCGTGGTTTACAAAGAAATCAAGTTTGCAACTGTGATGAAACTGGCTTAAATTGGAAGGCGCTTCCTCAAACGACATTAACTTCATCTTCTGAGACGTCAGCACCTGGATATAAAGTTCAAAAGGAACGCATAACGGTTATGGTTTATGCAAATGCTAGCGGTGATCATAGTATTCCGCTGTTGGTCATTGGAAAAGCACAAAAACCTCGTGCTTTCAAAAACATGGATTTGAGATTATTGCCTGTGAAATATAGTGCCCAAAAAAGTGCACGGATGAGTCAAGAGATATTTATTGATTGGTTTAAAACATGTTTTCTCCTTGAAGGTAAAAAATACTTACGTGAAAATAATCTTCCCGAAGAAGCTATGCTTTTAATGGATAATGCGCCAGGCCATCCTATTGAAGAGGCCGAAGATGGTAAAATAACTTGTCACTTTTTGCCTGCAAATACGACATCCTTGATTCATCCTATGGATCAAGGGGTTATTGAAAGTTTTAAGAGAAGATATCGAAAGGCTTTTATTCAAGGACTTATCTCTGAAACAGATGCGGACTTAAAACAGTATTGGGAAATGTTTACCATAAAAGATGGCATATATATTGCCGCTGAAGCTTGGAACAGTATACCTGCAGAAACCTTGAATAAAAGTTGGAATAAATTGTTGCCTACAGAAAACACAGCTATGGATCAGAAAGAAAATCGAACACCTAATATTTCATCCATAAAGCAAACATTTTCATATCTTCCTGGATTTGAAGACATCTCAGAAAATCACATTTCCAATTGGTTAGTTATGGACAAAGAGGATGTAGGATATGATATTTTACCAGACGACGAATTAATTAACCACGTTTTAAAGCCTTTAGAAGCCAATGATCATGAAGATCGTGAAGATGACTTACCTGATAATCCGAAAGGTAGCATTAGCCATGGGGAATCAAGAGAAAACAGAACTCGTTCAACTATTATTATTGAGGAAAATACGCTGCCTTGCAAGAAAAAATAAGTTAGGTTACTGTTTATGACATTATTATGTTTATACATATACAGGGTGTTTCAGTTTATTGTTGCATAACTTTAAGATTCGATAGAACTTTTAAAATTAATGCATAAAGTATGTATAAACATGGGTCGAAAAATGCGTGGCTTCCGAAATACAGGGTGATTAAATTTACTTTTTAAAATAGTTTTTTTTTTATATTTCGAACAATATTTGATGTATAATAGTAAAAATTGGTATAGAAGGGTTTTTTGGTACGACAAAACGAACCATGGGCATATTTTTACTGAAGCCGCTAGAGGGCGCTCTCTACTGTACCTGTAGTGTAGTAAAATGACCGAAAATTTTTTCTTAGTGCAATTTTTTGCTTTTTGAATAAACAAACTGATTCTTCGCACTTTTCAACATAAAAAAGCTGTCCTGGGAGTTTTCGTTATAGTTAGCCGTTTTTGAGATATTTCGATTTTTAAGGTTCGATGCATTTTTAATTATTTATGGGAAAATAATATTCTTTTTTACATTTTCGATTTATGCATTACAAGTAATTAAGATGATCGTTTAGATTGTGTTATTAAACACAGCAATAATTCCTAACTCCAAATAAACACAAAAAAACAGAATATTAATTTGTTTAATTTTCCAATATTATTTTTAGCAAATTAAATTAATTATTTACAACTAATTGGATAGTTAGGACAAACATCCAAAATCTAAAGTAGTTGCTCGAAATGTAAACCCAATTGTTCAATACACAATTCACATCTACGATCGAACGTGGTATAGCATTATTCAAATAAGGGCTTATTTCATCACATGCATTCCTGATTCTGTCTATTAGCATATCTCTTGTGGTTACGGGAGTCTGGTACACTTTTTCTTTTAGAAATCCCCACACAAAGAAATCTAATGGATTTAGGTAAGGGGATCGTGGCCAGGCGACTGGTCCTCCACAGCCGATCCGTCTTTCCGGATAATTTTCGTCCAGCCAGCTTCTAACTATTCTCGAATAATGAGCTGGACAACCATCAAGCTGGAACCAGGCCAATCTTCTTAAATCTAACATAACATCATCCCACATATGTGCATGTTCAGCCGTTAAAAATAGTCGATTACGGTAGATACCAATCCACACGTTCACACTAAATTCATGCTGAAAATTTCTTTCCCGAACTGCATGCGGATTTTCATGCGACCAAATATGTTGATTATGAAAATTTACCACTCCACGTCTAGTGAAGCATG